AATTAAAAATCATTAATATATATATATATATTTATTATTTTATAATTTCAATTTAAAAGACATTTTTTTAACCAAACAAATTAAAATTATTTTTTATTCACCGGCATTTTTTTAATCAAACAAATTAAAATTATTTTTTATTCACCCTCAATTTCAATTGCAGTTTTAACTAAATATATATTTATCCAAATTAACCTAAATTAAAAATACTTTTTATAAAAACTTTTTAAAACCACAATCACTGCAACAACCTCAATACCAACAAACACACCCTCAGTCTAAACAACCATAACCAGTGAATGCCCATCAATTAAACTTGATAGCAATGAACAGATAAAACAGCAAAGCACAAGAAGAGATTTACTCACCGACATCAGACTCCAACTTTGCGCTGTTCAGGTCTGAAATGAGCTTGGTAATGGATTCTTTTGTTCCATTCTAAATACAGAAACAAAGATGAGAAACTGGATCAGAATAAAAATCGAAACCTAAAAAGGGAAATCCAGTACCTATCTATCTCATATAAAATTAGGCATAAAAGACACTTGTAGAACCATTGTCAAGCTACAGGCAAGGGCATAAGAGCCTAAACCCCCCCCTTCCTTTTTTTTATAAGCAGGGCTAGGTATTACATATTTCCAATTTAAACAGTGACTATAAGAAGAATTAATGTGAAAAGTTGAGAAAAATAAATAAAACCAAGAAATCAGTAAGAAATTAAACAAGGTACTCACACATTTCCAATTTCCTCCAACAAAGAACTGCAAGCATGAGAAAAAAGAAAAATTAATTATGGATAAAAAAAATAGCAACATAGATAACCAACAATCTAAACAATCAAATTTCGTTAAAAAAAGGATTCCATTTACCAAACTCGCTTCAAGTAATAATCTTGAATAATAATAATAATAATAATATAAAGACTAAAGAAAAGGTTACAAATATTATTAATAGTTAAAGAAACGAGATCTAGAGGAGACAGCGACTTTGAATAAGGAAGCAGAATGTGAAAAGGAAAAGGTTAAAAAGGCACCTGTCCAGTGCCAGCCATGGCAAGGACTCCTCTAAGAGGTTTTCGGGGAGAAGAGAAGCGAAGAAAGGATTGGGAATGAGAGTTGTTGGTGTTGTTGTTTGGACATAAACGGCGAAGACCGGAGAACTCAGGCGCGCAATACGAAGTTGCAGATTTTGGACCGGAGAGTGAGGTTGAGAGCATAGCCATGGCCGCTAAAGTCAAGTTTTTTTTTTGCTTTTTTTACGGGAAAAAAAACGTTATGTTACTGTTTGCTGGAAGTGATAGAGGAGAGGAGAGGTGAGGCAGGGTGGGTTTTGAAGCTGTGGTTGTTGTGTTTATGGGTTTCTCGTATGGTGGGAGGTGGATAGTTGTTCGTTCCACGCGAGTTTTCAGAGCGTCGATTGCACGAGGGATTTATAGCACTGCAGTTTATAGTTACATAATTTAGCAAAAATAAATTTATAGTATTGCAGTTTATATTTATATAAAGTTAATCTAATCACCAAATAATATTTTGAAAAATAATTAGAAGAAGATATTTCTTGATAAATAATATCTCACTTTTTTATGTTTATCTAATCAGTTTATTCCCTCTTAAATAATTAGTTTAATTGAATTCAGAGAAATCAGATTTATTTGAAGATAGGAGTTATTATGAAAGACTAATCTCTATGAATTACACGTGTACGTGTTGATGAGATGTTGAACGCGCTTTAAGAGCGAAGTAATAAAAATCTCGAAGCTGTTTACAGGTGGACGTGTCGCTTTTCTTCGACGAGAAAACGACGGTTGGTGGAAGTAAAAAACTTTCGGTTGCGGACGGGAACTACAAATGCATAGATACGAAACGACGAGTCCCCAATGTGTCGATAGTCAATACCATAGTTGTTAGAAACCATGCGGGGTGTAATGCGGATAAAAAACAAACTGTGTTATCGAGTTAGTGGGATTGACAGCCTTATTATTTTTGTATTTTTAAAACATTTTTAATAAAATTTATTTTTTTATTTAAAATTATTTTTTTATTGTTAATATTTTTGATATATTAATGATAAAAATAATTACTAGTATATTATCAAACACTTTTTAAATTTTTTTAAAAAAAATTAACTTGTTTGATTCTAAATTAGATTTAATTGACTTAATCAATCTACAACTTCAACTAAATTATTTAGTTTTAACTTTAAAATTAGTTTAAATTAAAACTAGTGGCTCATCTTATCTGCCATATCAAGTTAAAAGAATTAAAAGTATGTTAGGTATTGGAATAGTTTTTATGGTTATGGTTTGAAAAAAATTATTTTTGATTGAGATTGATTTGATATTTATATATATTTGATTAAACCTATGGTTGAAATTAAAATTGAATAAAAAATAGTTTAATGTATCTGGTTAAAAATATTTTTCAAATTAAGATTATAAAATAACTAAAATATTTATATATTAATATTAATGGTTTTTAATTTATATATTGTAGATTTAACTACTGCTATTACATCTTAAAATAAATAATACTTTATATATAATATTTTTTAGTATTTTATTAAATTGTCTACAATTCTATCATGCACAAAATTTATCTTATAAGAACTATAATTTTTATAGTTTTTTGAGCATATAACAAAATCAGGTAAAATATTATCAAGAGCAAAATTAGAATTATGATCAAATTTTATAAATATTACGCTATCATGAAATCTCTTTCTATTTTATATAGTATTATTTAATAATGTTAAATAATAATTTTTTAAATAAAATATAATTAAAAATAAAAAAATAATTTTTTTTTATTAAACAGGACTCGGTCAATATATTTAGGTTCGGATCAAACCTAATGCGACCATAAAGAATGAAGATGTTATCCGTAGTTCACATCAAATGTGCAAGTGAATTAATTCACTCTGCATCTCCCATGAACCAACTTGAAATTGCTTTTAATTCACTTATAATTTTAATATAAAATTAACTAGGGCTCATAAACACTAATCAACATTTTATTTTTAACAAACATGTATTTTTTATTTTTTATGATTTATTTTAAAAACAGAAGTAATCGTGTAAACAACACACTCTCTAAATAACCGCGCTCAACGCACTAAACAGCCATAGCAACTTCGTTTCTTTCCTTCATGGGTGGTATGATATTTGTCTCTTTTCATTGCCAAGCGTATTTGCTCCTGTAACGTGGATGTTCACTACCAGTCTTAAGGTCCAACAATGTGAAATAATTAATCGAAGAAAGTTATGGTTATTGTTAAATAAAAAACCTAATGGTCTTTTCAGATTTAGGTGGCGAATATAAGCATTTTCTGGGTAGGTGACTCACCTAACATTTAATATTATTTAATATTAAGGTGAATCTTGGATGAAGAACTGGGAACATGACATTCTTCCCCTGGAACATGAAAGATTAAAACCATAATTCCTCGTCATTCAGGGTAGGAAGTGAGTGCTGTGTCCTAGGCTAAAATATGATGGTGTCTAAAATCTCAGGTAGCAGCAGGAAGGGGCAGTGGAGTCCAAGAAGGTTCTGCCAGATACAGGAAGAGTCCTGCTAGCATAAAAAAGAGAAAGCGACCCCATCATCGTTGAAGTTTAAGCTGAAATCCGAGAAAAACAGTTGAGACGGTTGAGACAATGAGATCCTATTTGCCTCCTGTTTTTGTCTTTGCTTCAAGCAATTCCTCGACTAAAAAGTCCAAACCGACAAAGCAGTATCTTAAAAGTTAAAACAAACATCGGTTTCAACTCTCAAGATGAGTGATACCAGACCAGGCTTCATGTCCACCATGTTTGGCAAAAAGATCTAACCGGGTCGGCGTGTATCCTTATCCAACATTAAAGTTAATTAAGATAAGTAGATGGATATTAGACAATTATACGCAACTACTACCTCCTGCTAGCATTTGGAAAGGGACAATGGTGGAACCAGAATGACTTTTAGCAAGGATTAGATTTATATAGTGGAGGCTTGAGGCATATCAACAATCATTCTCACTTGAAGGATAGCTGGGATTCAGATTTTGGTTCAAGTAGGAGACCTCCCTCTCTCGAAAGGCTAGCTGGGATTCCAAGCTTCGAATCTTAGAATTAATTATACTGACAGCAATTCTCCTCCTCGGGAATGGTTGGGATAAATCAAGTTTAACCACAGACAATACACATCTGTATGAGCGGCATGAATTAAGCCTACAGTAAAGTCCATTTCAGCACTCGGTGAGTGGGGTCCTCAGGCTCTCTGCACGAGGTATCATCACTTAAGCCTACTGGATATTTTTCTTTTAAGAATTAGCCCGTAGTTGCCCCATTGTCAGGGTATCAAAACGTCTTTCTATTCATAGAGTCTCTTGTCAGATCTTGAGACCGGCTAGCAGGCTAGCAGCATCCCTGGTACTGTGCTTTATCCTCACCCATTATTAAAGTGTCATCACTCATCACAATTCTCCCTAACCCAGACAGCCCTTTCTCCCGTTGCCCTTTTGTCTTTTTATAAACACCAGAGCGTCGGTTATCAAGCTAGGAACATTAGCTCCAAGCCTGAGACACTAGTCACCGCGCACTCCATTGGTTGCCAAGCCAAAAGGTATGCATTTGTCCAAGTACGAATAACACAGCCACATTAGAGACACTGTCAAAGTTGCAAAACTGCAGGACAAAATTTGTACCAGATGTAAGCGGAGGCAGTAACAAAATATCATTATTGCATATTAAGATTGATATCCAAACTTCCCTAATTCATGTTGTTCATCCTAGTGGACTTCATTAAAAAAATCTTAACCATGTACTACCGATATGCATAAACTTCGGATGTAATCACTACACGGAATATTGTCCTCATTAAATATCCTCACGCCACTTCTTCATTAAATAATTTCCTGTGACAGTCATATACATACAGATAAGGATTAACCGCTATGCAAACTTGTCTTTCCTCCTATCAATGAGCTCTCTTTCAAAAACATTTTTTTAAAAAAAATTAATTTTTATTTTTATCTTTTATTTCAAATTAATATTTTTTTAGTATTTTTTTATTATTTTGATATAATAATTTCAAAATTGGAAACAAGCCCGGCAGGTTTTAACCGCACTTACGGATTGTTCTTGTCCTTGAAAACAAAAACAAAAATGACAAGGATGATCCCAAGCACCATCCCTGGAAGCTTCACACAGGGAGAACTCCCCCAGGTGTGCTCATATTAATGGAAGTATCTGGCCTTAAATAAAAAATAATTCAGTTCAGAGGCAAATTACATACTGAATGGATTAGAAACTAGTCTGGGGTATTGAAATGAGATAAATTGAAGAAAGCAAATTGCTTGTAATAAATCACAAATGGTAAATGAATGGTGAATATACAGAAGTTGGAAACAACCTGACTCTCCTTGTGCTCATTCTAACTTGTCTAAATCATCGTGCTTTGTGCTGTCAACTACACTGTTGGGTGAGCTATCCTGTACACTGTGAGAGGAAGAACACCTACTTGAAGAACTCCTTTCTGTAACACTGCTTTCCTTCCTCTGGGATTTTTGGGACTTTCTTTGTCCTGAAGATAAGTCCTGCAAAAATTATTAAATCAGTTTGTTGATACAATTATTAATAATGAAGACTAAAACGTTTCCAATTCCTTGTTTCTCTCATAAATCGTAACCAATCTGAAAGGTGACTGCAATTTACCTGATCTGCTGAAGATCCTGGAGTCTTCAATTCAAGGTCCGTGGTAACATCATTAGAACCTTCGCTTTTCTCAATCTTGCACTCCCCTGAAGATTTATTCTTCAGATCTTGTTCGCCTGAAACATGGGAGCGACTGGCAGGCTGTGAAAGAGAAGAAACATGCTGGGCGGGCTGCTGATCAACCAAGGTATTAGGCGCCATACGTGGAACAAAAGTTGAACATGGATTATGAATGACTGCAGGATTCTGATTTCCAAAAAAGGGATATGGCTGTATGGATGAATGCAATGGAATTGCCCCTGGAGGCATTGGCACTGGCATGGGAAAGGGATATGAAGGTGGGGCCATAATATATGAGTGATCCATAGCAGGCCACGGGTATGGAGCCCTGAGCCGTTGCTGACACTGAATATTAAGATTCTCAATATCCGATTTAAGAGATGCCTTCTCTTCTCTGAGATCATTTTTCTCTTGGCTCAACTGTTTGAGAAACATTTCAAGATTAAGCATACTATGCCAATCATCATCATTATTAAAGAAAAAAATAGGTGCATTAAAAGATCACCTCAAGAGATTCTTCACTCAGTGTAGCATACTCAGCCTTGAGTTTGTCAACTTGAGATGTCAAATCCTTCAGCAGCTGAATTGTGTCAGCTAGAATGGTCGCCTTGTCATTTTTAGGTCTATCAGGATCTGTATATCAAAATGAGCACATGGAGATCAAAACTGCATGGCCATGTAAACAAAGACTAAAATCTTAGAAAACAATATGCCCTAAACAGCCATTCTGATCACAATTAACTGATTCCTGATTCTCCAATATCATAAACCAATTAAGCAACATTTTATCCACAACCTGAAAGAACGTTTAAGTGATCTATTATACCAAATTTTACATTCCTTGGAGAATGTGAATGGGCAAGGTAAGCACCTAAGTCAGGTCCAACCCCCCGGTCCTCATAGAACAACCATGCAATACATTCAGCAACTAGAACCCAGGTCATTAAAGCAAAGAATTCAGAACCTGTAGCTGTCAGTAACTTTCTTCCAAAACATTACAAGAAAATGGGTCTGACTCTAATCAGCAGAGATCAGCATCGCATAATTCAAACCCGTTAAAAAAATGATAGCTACAGAAGCAATGAGTATTTACCTAGGGTATTCCCCAATTCAACAAAATGCTCATTCAACCTCTCCCTCCTCAATTTTTCTCGGTCCGCCTTTTGAATTTTCCTAGCCGATACACTATCTTTAATCTCTGCCTCGCTACAAAAATAAAAATGCAGTAAAATAAACACTAACGCACATCTTTCGATTAAGCAAAAATCCACACAAAAAACCTAATCAGTGAGCTTCAACCTTTGTTAATTGGAATAGATAAAGGGTATGGAGAGAGTACCTGGATTTGGGATTGGGGTTGGGGCGAGTGGGTGGCACGTGCCTCGGGTCAGGAGGAGGAGGCGGAGGATTGAAGTCAGTGAATGGATCCATTGGTGGATTCCGTGAGGGCGCCAAACAATTGATAGCTTATCAGCTGTTCCACTGTATGGTCGTTTCTGTTTCTCTTCGTGGATTGGTTCGTGCCGTACCCGAGTAACCGAGTTAACTGTTTTTATTTTTTATTTTTTATTTATTGCTGTTTTCTTTTATTTTTGCAATTTTGCAAATTCCTGGATCCAACACTATATTATTGATAAAGGGTATTGTTTTACATAGAAGCTTTTTTATTTTAAAATATATTTAATTCATGTTTTCCATTTATTTTTCAATGTTTTTAAAATGCATATGACAAATTTTATACAAAAAATAATTAATTAATTTAAATATAATTTAATCTAGCTAGCGGCGTGCTCCATTAAAGAAGGTTCAAGTGAAAAATATTAACTTAATCTAAAATCATTTTATTTGCTCCATTAAAGATTTCTTGTTATTTTCAGAAAAATATTTTTTCAATTTTTTTAATGTATTGATATTATAAATAAATTTTAAAAATAAAAAATATTATTTTAATCTATTTTCAAATAAAAAATATATTAAAAAATAATTTTTATCATTATTTTAAATACATCAAAATCATAAAATTATAAATTTATTTATTTTCAAACAATATCAAGACATCTTGATCAAAACCGTGCATCACAGAGTTTGCTGATGGTTTTTTCTAAGGAAAAGTTTAAATTTTCTATGCAAGTAGAGATTTACCAAGGCTATGCCACCGATAGCCTTTGAAAGCTTTTGTATTTTTTTTTTCATTAACAAACAAAGCCATGTTGAAAAATGTGGGTGAATTATTATATGAGAAGTCTTTACAAAAGTAGTTTTTTACAGCGTAAAAATCATTTACTTTCTAGAATGTTTGGTGCGTCAATAAATTAAAAAATATTCAAAAATAAAGACAGAATATACATAGTTTTCCATAAAAAGAGAACTAGATAGGTTATCCGCATGTGGGATGATTCTAGAAACACATGCTATTTTTAATTGTAAAACAATTAAAAAAATATTTTTTAAATATGTAATAAAGAATATATGATTTAGCTTTTAAGCAATATACAAATAATATAAAAAAAACTTGTTTAAATTATCTTGAATATTATATAAAAATTAAATTATAAAATATAAAAGAATATCAATCTATTATAGATATTGTTTGAACAACTCAAAACAAAAAGTGACATGATGAATAAAAAAAGATATGAAAGCCCGACTTTTAAGTGAGAATGAAGTCTCAACAATTGTTAGCAAGTAAAGAATAACAAAATGCTTGTTAACTTCTTGGTAATGTAAGGATTTGAATAACTCAGTTAAGTGTTTTCAAAACTATTTTATATATCCATTTATATGTTTGGATCTAGTATATAAAATAAATTTTCTTCGATAGAAACCAACTTAGGAATGCCTAAATAAAATTAAGAAAAAAATCAAAGATGAATCATACACACCTTTCTAAAAACTAAACACACCCAATTTCATTTAAAAATAATCACTATCTAATTAAAAAGATAAACTAAAAATTTATTTAAAAAAAATATACACAAATAATGCATTATTGTTTTAACAACTGAAAAACAAAAAGAAAAAAGAAAAAAAAGAACCAGGTCAAGTTATGGACTTGGCAAGCCAGGCTTAGTGCCTGTCCTAATAAAGTAGCGGCTTGCACTTGGGTCTTTAAAAAAAATGTTTAATAGGGTAGACGTCACTTTATTCGCCCCAAATATTTCAAAAGAAAAGGATGCATTGCATCCATCAGCAGACAACATGTCACCTGCCCCAACCAAGAATCTATCCACTATGGTGCCTAACAAATCAAGGGCCATCATTTTTTTCACTAAAAAATCATATTTTCAACCCATTTTGTTTTATCCAAAACACCTTAAAGACATTGTTAAACCAATCTATAGCTATTAAAAAGCTAAAAAAACATTCAAAATCCACCTAAAACAAAAATTCTTCTCAAGCTCAGATATGTTGTTTTGAGTGTTTTCAAGATAAAAAAAAACACTTAAACATAACCCCTCTCATCATATAGAGACATAAAAATCAACCGTTTTGTTGATTGGAATCTTCCCTAAGAATCATTTTCTCTTTTTAGATTGAAATTCAACAACACCCCCTTTTTCCTCCTAACAGAAAAGGATTGGAAAAAAAAAAGAAGGAAAATAGTGTTAGGTATCAAAATTTATTGTCTTGAAATTTAAAGGACTGATCACTTTGTATCTAAAAAATAGAAGGGATTAAAATAAATATTCCAACGAAACTTTCAACCCACCCTCATGTTACCCAAGTTTTCACTTCAGTCTCTTAGCTTTCAATTCAATTCTTCCCTTTAAAAGAATATACAACTGGGGGCTAATTTGGGCTTCAAATGGCCAAATTGTATAAAATAAATGTTCGAGGATCAAAGTGAAAATTTTCAAAAAAATATACTATTCCAATCCACAGTGAATTGTAGAAGAATTTATAGTAATCTTAAAAGCCAATGCCTTTTATATATATAATAAAAATACTCAGTTTCATTTCTTCATGGATTTCTAACCACATTCTCTCACAATTCACGGTTAATTTTTTATTTAAAATTAAATTTTTATGTTTTAAAATTATTTTAATATGTTAATATTAAAAATAAGTTTGTTTTCAAGAAATTTAAATAGATTTCTAAATAAAAAAATATTTAATAAAAAATTACCTTGAAAACATGCTCTAATTTTTTTGATAAAAAACACTTATAATTCGTGATAGTTATAATGATGTTGTGTTTTTCTTATTCAATTTTCAAAACAAGATACCGTAAAGTGTTATATTATATTTGTGCGACCGTGCTATGATATACGGTAAAATATTTATTTTTATCAGTGAAAAAAAAAAGTATTTTGGCTTCTATTATAGTATAACCCTATAAATCTAGTATATTGTTATACAGTATAAGGTAAAAAAAAGTGTTAGGCCGATGCAATCGAGTGTTAAAAAAGTAAAAAGGAAAAAATGACTTAGAGGAGCAAAAAATATTGGTATAATTAATTAGATAATAAAAAAATAGTTTAAGATTATAAATGCACCAGCTTAAACAAAAAAGAACAATGGTAACCTAAAAAAAGATTTAAAAAACAAAAATCAGTTGGCACATCTCTTGTTAAGGCTTAGTAGGTAATGCGTAGTCTGATTTGCATCATGATAGTTGGAAAATCAGAAATTAAATTGTTTTTAACCAAAAAACTCATTTGTCAACCTATTTTAACCCAAAACACATATAAAACACTGTAAAAACCATGATAAAACCCAAAAAACCAAAATCAACTCGAATTCAAAAATCAAACTGAGATTAAATATGTTTTTATGAACCTTAAAGCTAAAAAACACGTAATATAATATCTCCTCATCAAATGGAACCATTTGACATAAATATTGTTTATTTTGGTGGTTTAAATTAGTATCAACGATACTTTTCTTTCTCTACAACTAAAATATGACGACATGTCTTTTCTCTCTCAATAAGGAACTAAAAACTAGAAAAAATAAACTATTATACCAAAATTGAATTGAAAAATATTGAGGTATTGAAATTATATAAGTTGTGTGATTTTTAAAATTTAATAACCAAAGTGCATCTTTTATGAAACTTATAGCATGCCACTCATATTTGACATCCTTTTCACTTTGGTCTCTTTTTTTTTAATCTCATGAGAAATTATTAAAAAACATTTAAAGACTAAATTAAAAAAATATAAAATTTTATACAGCTCATCCACAATATTGTATGAGAGGATGCACAGTTGAGTATTGTACAGTAGAAAAACCTATACCTTTTAAAGTAATAATGAAATGGAACTCGATAAAAATAAACACACCTATAACAATTAGACCATAATTCATTCAACAATAACACTTTAAGATTATGTTTGTATTTGAGGCATCATTTGTGTTTTCTCTAAACACAATATATTTGGTGTTTGGTAACCAATATCAAAAGAATATACAAATGGTCGGCCCCACCACTTGCCTGAGGCTAGACCTTGTTATGAAAAATTAATTTTTTCCTGCTTTTGTAAATTGGACCATAGGTTGAACTTTCTGAATCTAGAAAAGGCTTTGAAAAATTATTAAAGCATCCTCTTATTCTCTTTCTCTTCTTGTTCATTTTCAATTCACATTCATTTCTCATTCAATTCACCCTAACTGCAACAATTTTAATGGTACAATCACCATTACTACTACACAACCCACAATAATAACCTTTATAACATCTTTTTTTTCTCATTGACTTATCATTGATTTTCTCTTAATAGCAGAAAAAAAAGAATAAGAATAACCTTCTTTATTGCAATCAACAACCCCAAAATAAAAATCTAAATCTCGCTTCATTCAGACACCAAAGCTGTAATTTTCAACGAGTTAGTTCGCTTAATTGATCGGTTTGCTCTTATAATTTTGTTAAGTTAATTTTCGTTCCTTGCTTCCAAACCTAGATCTGTTTATTTCTTTTTATAAACCACTGGTTTTTTGCCCTGGTCTAAAATTATTGCTCATTGTTTTCAAATCCCTATGTTATGCCTGTACATATCTTGAATTATTGATATTTTGACTAATAGGATGTTAAACTAATTGAGGCTGAAGAAATAGTACTCGTTGCATTGTCAACCAAAAATAGTTTTCAAGCCACCATAAACAATGTCTTTTAGTTTTTTGCTGATGAATGCTAACAAATAAATAAACATAAATTAAACTAATAATTTTTTGTGTTAATTATAAAATCACCTAATAATTAATGAAACATAACTAATTACAATTACTATAGATGATACTCAATATGTATGATCTTAACACTTTAAATTTTTAGGTTAACGTGAAATTTATATTACTTTAAAATGACATTCAATTAGATAATGGTGGAAATTCATATGCACTCCCATGAATGACAACTTACTTATATTTGTCTGGATTTTTTAAGGACAAAACACTTTCTAGGTTTAAGTTGTCTATGTGTAGTTATATATGTTGTTTTTCTTATAAAGAAATAATAGAGCAATCATAGAGTACACTACCTATTATTTTTATAATGAAATACACCAGTTTCAACGGAAAAATCTCAAAGAATTTCATTACATTA